CCCCTTCCCAAAATTACTTCAACGGAAGGTTTCCAGATGGATATGCGGAGCAAATCCATCTGGCGGAGTCAGGTTAGCAGTCAGAGGCCCAACAGTCGACACTTCATATCGCTTCACTTTACGTCAACTCGGGGCTTCGTTTGGATTCGCATGTTTTATGATTTGCAGAAAACGGAGATGTTGATGGGGTTTGAACTTCCTGTACATCCATTTCACCCACTGAACCATCGTTATTCCTCTATGACGATGGAAACTCTGCTTTATTTGCCAGTTAAGGGCTGGTTATCCTCCCACAGCAGTGTGTCGCAGATATTTTTGATTTATGCCCAACATTGAAGGGTTGTTTTTCTTCCTGTTGTTTCTTAAGAACATGCAGAACTTGTTTATGACCAACAGGCAGCTGAACTCAGACGACTTTCTCTGCCGAGTCCATATTTCAGCGTAACTCAGAGTGTTTCTGCATGGGCGCCGCTCTGAATTCCAGTGAACCCGAATGGTGTTAAAAGCAGTTTATTCGTCGCCTGTCCCACACAGTTAAACGGACGGAAGGTGAGAAATGATGGAAACCTGCACCTCAGGTAGAAAAAGACACCTTCCACTCCATTTCTTTGGCACCTCCACCTGAATAAGATGGACACCGGCGCTCCGCTTTGAAACACGCTAATAAGATTAAAATCATATTTAGATGTCAAATCATTCTGGCTTAAACATTTATATAAATGTACTCTTTATCAGACCATATTGTCCTAAAAGTTAGAACATTTCTATTTAATAAAAAATCTTAAGGTTAAAAACTTAAGATAAATCACAAGACATAAGTCAATGTCACAAATGAATACCTTTTATTTTAGAGTCACGGTCTGTTTATAGAAGATAATACTATTAATATAATGTGACTTTTCTAGAGAATCATTATACAGAGTTATTTTATTCAGGATTTCCACAGTCTGACATCATTCCCTGACTTTTAACTGACTCAGGATTAGTTTTCCCTGACAAAATAAATGCAGCAACAAGACAATAATAATAACATAACAGGTCACCAATCTAACATGTTTAGCTCTATAACATTTAAATGCACCTCTCCAATGTCTAAGAGAAAAAAATGTAATGAACATTTTTTAATGCATGACCTGCATCACTGTACACAAGACTGCCACATGATAGCGCTTTCTAGCTTGTTGGTCGTTTTGGTAACAACATAGAAATTACCGCTAGGTGGACAAAAATCACGCCATCTGGCGGAAAATCACCCGGCTTTTGTCTACAAAACAACAAAAATGGCGCCGGCAACGCTTGTGGGATGTTTTTAGGGCTGCAACAACGAATCAATAAAATCGATAAAAATCGTCTTTTAATAGCGTTGCCAACGAATTTCATCATTGATTAGTTGTGTCGCGCGATTAATGCGTCATCCGCCGCCGTCGTCATCGCTGCTACTTGACTGAAAAAATATGGCAGAGCGAGCCAGCACCGCAGGTGCAGTGTTGCCAACTCAGCGACTTTGTCGCTATGTTTAGCGACTTTTCAGACCCCTCCAGCGACTATTTTTCAAAAAAGCGACTAGCGACAAATCTGGAGACCTTTTACGGTGT